CTTATTCTGTTTTGGATCAGGACTGTGCCTGCTGTTCTCTCATGAGCTGACATTAGCTAGCTGGTCTAGCCAGGTATGCTTGCTTTTTTATTTCCCCAGTGAAGCATTCTGACATCAAAAAACTGTTTCAGGCCCCTCAGGGTTATCTCTCATGTCTGGAGTCAGCCACAATGACTATATTCTTTTTTCCAGTGTCCAGGCATTCTATCTGATTCACAATATGTATCACTTCTGGTCTAGTGTGCATCAATTAATCCATTCAATGAGTATGTGTCATATCTTGGTATAATATAGAGTCTCTCACAGTGTTATATATGCTATCCACTCTTGGTAATATTTCTCTATTTATTACTTTGTTGTCATTATTCTATTTCTCTGTTTAATATCCAGTCATTCAGATATCTTTCTTTGAGTCTCAGTTCTCTGTTCTAAGGCATGTCCTATCAGTACATTAATGGATGTGCATCCTTGATCAATGTGATCAGAATTGCCAATCATATTTTGATCATATTCTTTTTATTTTTAGCATGTCTTCTTATAATGGTATTGGTGCATTTAGAGCCAAGTGCTGGGACCTCATGCACAGTATAACCCCTCTAGTATTAGTCTATCACTAGGTTATGCTCTCTGCTCATTGTTACTTTAGTTTAGCATTATAACAGCTATGTTTCTTTATGCTCTAGCTCTATTCTCTGTTATATGCATAGTAGACTGATAGACAGTCTATATAGTCTCAAATTTCACAATTTTACATGTCTGAACACAGAGAGAGTATGTCAATGGAAGTAGATATAAAGAGTACTCACATCTCAGCATTGTGGTTGAAAGCTGAGATATGTGGAATAGTGTGTCATACCAAAAAAGAAAAGAATATCAAATAAGTAAATGAACATGTTTATATCATACTATTTCTACATCTAACACTCTCCCTCAAAATGTATATGGTTTGCTTATATGATGCTCAGTGCCTCTGCAAACTTCTTGAACTTTGGATGAGCCAATGATTTCATGAGGATGTTGACAATCATGTTATCAGTTGGGCAGTACATCAACCTGATGTGGCCTTGCTCAATGGTTTGCTAGATGAAATGATATCAGACTCCAATATGCTTCATTTGTTCATGGAATACTGAATCATTGGCAATAGAGAGTATGTTTTGACTATCAGAGAAGAGGATAGTAGGTTTCATTGGATAAATAAAAGGGTTTGCAATGAAGATGGAGAGCTCAGAGAGAAGTTTGTCAAGCCAGATCATGTTCTTCAATGCTGATGTGAGTTCGACATATACTGATTCACCAGTGGAGACAGTAACAATTGGCTGCTTTTTCAATGTCCATATAATGTCATCTTAACCTATGAATAGGACAAATCCAGACATAGATTTCTGTCTAGGCTGATTGGCATATGCTGCATTATGATAGCCCTTGGGACTGATGCTAGGATCACAAATTACAAGCCATTGGCCATATGTACTCTTGAGATAATGGAGGACTTGAAATCCAGCCTTTAAATAAGTTGAACATGAGGTCTTTCACCAATTGTGAGAGCACTGACATCAGATAGCTGATGTCAGAGTGAGATCCAACTGCAATATACATGAGAGACTCTAGCAGCTCATAATAGAGTGCTTTTTCATATGATGTAATGGATTCTGTAGATATAGATGGTGAATCTAGGTTTAGATCAAGATTTACTTTCATTGGCATCATAAATAGTGCCATATCTTGAACTCCAAATCATTTTATGATCTGGTCAATGTAGACTGGCTGTCTAATGCTGATGGTGCACTTTTTTCAGTCTCAAGTGGTATGCATCCCCAAGAGTCAATGTATAGGTCCAGGATCAACCAGCTCAAAATGTGAGCCTATTTCTCATTTGAATTGGTCTGATTCATTTTGGGAGTCTGCAATAATAGTATATTTGGTCTCTGATTTGATCCAATAGAAAACAGCCTCATCTGCATTGCTGACAGTGAATCCTAGAGAGATCATTGTTGCCTTCAGAGTCTGATACTAGCCTTGTCCTGCTTGTTTCATGTCATACAGATATTTGCACAGCTTGGCACAAATATTCTGGCCTTTAAGATGTTCTGAGATTGTGAAGAATTCTTTATATCTGTTTGAAAACTTGATATAGATTTCCTTGGTGATGTCAGCATGCAGGTATGCATTTTTGATATCAGCTTGGTCTACTATTGCATTCTGAGAGGCAGATATAGAGGGTAGGATGTGGAGGGTGGAAAGACAGACAACCAGAGCATAAGTGTTGAAGTAGTCAATGCCTTAGATCTGAGAGAATTCTTGGACTGCAAAATAGGACTTAGCCTTTTTGGGCTCACCAGTTTCATTTCATTTGACCTGATAAACAAATCTTGTACCCACAATGTTTGCATCCATGGAAACATCTTCTTATTTTATCACCTCTCATGCTTTCTTCTTCTCATACTGTCTTATCTCTGTGAGCATTGACTCATGCCATTCTCCTTCATCAGAACCACTCAATGCCTCCTTCATGGTTACTGGTTCAACATTCACTATCATGGCATAGTTGACTGATGAGTAGCTATCTGGTTCATCATCATTATCAGATTCTGACTCATCTTCAAGTGCCATTACTGCAATTCCAGCTGTGGTGGGATATTTGCACAAGTCTGGAGGTGTGAGTTGACCAGGTTTCAGAGCTGCAGATCACTTAGAGCAGCTGGATTGAGGGATAGTATCAGATACTATATCTATGAGTGGAGATTCAGAATGCTCTGAATGAGCTTCTGTGCTGATGATATTGCTTTTGTTGAGATGTGGTTGTAGATCTATTCAGCATGCTGGTGAGCTTCAGCTCAGAGATATTTTGGTAAACCTAAACTGATTAAGAAAGCTCTAATCATATCCATCAGATAGCCATTTGAACATTCAGCAATCTCATTTGACTGTGGAGAATCATGTACAGTAAGATGTCAAACAGTTTCTTTTGATTTAAGATGCTGATCAAACTTGTCACTAGTGAATTCTCTCTCTTGATCTGTACCAAGGATCTTGATGATCTTTATGCCTTGCTGGACCTTAGTTCATATCTCATAATGTCTATATGACCCAAAGGTATCTGATTTCTTTGATAGATATTCAGATTTTGATTTATAGGTGTGTAGATCACAGAATATGCAGGCATAGCAGGCTCCTCCAAGTGATACTACAGACATCAGGCCCATTACATCTTCAATGATCTTGTCACCACTATTTTTGACATACTTGTATTGGCCTTGTTTTAGAAATAGCTTGCACTTTGCTTTAGCCTTTACACAGGTTTCACAAAATTCTGGTTTGGAGTTAAAATTAAGCTTGATTCCTTCAATATAGCTATCAAAATACATACAGTGAAGGGTGGTGTGACTTTGGTGGGCACAAATGTTGTGTAGCTCAGTGATGTTTATCTTGAGCTTACCTGCTGCTATAGCAATATCTGGTTTAGCTGCTGTAGCTTGCTATGCATTTGGGGTTGAGATTATGTATAAGCCACTGGCTTCAGAGATTTTTGTGATGATCTTAGCATCTGGGTGTAGTGTGTGGATGTATATAGTATAGTTGGAGGGTTCAATATGAATGGAAAATCCAGCATGACTGACTTGTGAGAGTGATGTGAGGATGTAGGCCATTTTCAGTGCATGATGTGCATTTCAAAAACTTATGATAGTAGGTTTCTGTCTCTTTTCCATGGAAAGTGGTAGTCAAAGATCCTCTTTTCCTATCACATAGAAAACTTGGCCATTTGCAGCTTTGATAGGCTTTGGTTCAATTTTGATATAGTTTTTGAACCTCTGATATTCAGGTGAGTATGTTTTTGATGCTCCACAATCTGCTAATGCCATAACATTCTCCTCTTTTGCCATATGGGCATCACTCTCAGCTCTATAGTCAGATGTGCATATCAATGCCATGTTTTTGTGATCATTGTTATCAGCTACAATGGCAATAATATGTTCATTCTCACTTTCATCAATAGCTACAGATGCTGACTTCTTTGTCTTTTTCTTTCCCTTAGTCTTGTTCTGTCTTTCCACTGTCTTTGTACCAACAATCTGTGATGAAATGGCCAGTTTTACCACATACTGGGTTTGTGCATTTGAGATGAGATTGATCAGATCTTTTCTTTGACTTTCCTCTGAAGTTCTGGCCCTTTTCTTTGCTCTGTCATTGAGCAGACATTGCTACATTTTTGGCAGTGGCCTTCAATGTGATCTCCTCATCCCATTCTTCATGCAGAGCTGCAACTAGGATGTCTGATGTCAGAGTCTTTCCAGTAAATTTGCTGGCAGTGGAGAGGGTGTGATGAATATGATCATAGGAAGGTGGAAGTGATTTTTGGATCATTGAAGTGTATTGATTGTCTTCAATCTTCAGACCCATCCCTTTGATTTATTCATGGAGAATTTTCATTTCAGCAAGGTGTTTGCATATATTGCCTTCATCAGGGCATGCCATATTTCCAAGCCAGGTAAGAAGGTGCTCTTGCACAAGATCACTCTTGCCAGTCATAATAGCAACAAGCTTCTTCTAGACAAGAGCAGCTGTTGCCTTGCCTTTGATCTCATTGAAGGTAGAGTCAGAAATAGCTTTGTAAATGATAGTATGCATCTTTGCCTCTTTCTGCTCATATTCCTCCAGTTTATCCTCCAGCTTTTCTAGGTTGTCATTTGAGAGTGAGTGTGAAAATACAGTATTAGAGGACTGGTAGAAGTTTTCCTTGTGCTTGACAGGGTGCAGGGGTATGTGAGCTGTTTCTCAGAGATGCCAGCCAAGACTCTTGTCCAGAAACTTGTTGGTGAGCTTCTCTTCAAATGCTATCCAGTTTGATCCATTGTCTACAAGCTTTGTTGTGCTAACTAGCTTTATTTCAGTTGTTGTGGACATGCTGGTAGTGGGGCCCATAACCTGTTGGAGTTAATGAGATAGAAGCACAGATGTGATAAACAAGAAAAAAGGTTCAGAAGAAAACAGATGCTAGAATAGAATGTCATAACATTACTATATAGATAATGAGTAAATACAGTAAGACAGAAGTAGATATAAAGAGTACTCACATCTCAGCATTGTGGTTGAAAGCTGAGAAGTGCAGAACAGTGTGTCATACCAAAAAAGAAAAGAATATCAAATAGATAAGTGAATGTGTTTGTATCATACTATTCCTATGTCTAACAGAGACCCTCCTTTTCACACTATCTTTGATGCTGCCAGGGTCTGAATAGTAATGATCTCATCCAAATTAGATGCAGTGTTACAAAAAGGCAGCACAAAAGCAAATAGATAGTAAACAAGCAAACCCCTCCTTTAGATATAAAACATACTCTCCTTGATATCATCATGAAGCTGCAAACCCAAGTCAGTCCAAACCCAACATGCCAAACACACACTCACCCCTTTACCCCAAGCCTTCTCCGCAGCCTGGAAAACTTTCGCCGCCTCCTCATCCCGACTAAGCGACCCTGAAACAGTCGAGTTATCACCGGACAAGATTTCATTTAGGTAGCACCTTCCCCTCTCGCACGCCAGATCCGCATAATAGGCCGCCGGAATCAGACTAACAGCCTTCGTCGCCCGCGCATACAAATAACTAGTATTGTTCGTTCCCTTCTGGAGCTCATCCACATCAAGGCTGTTCTCATCGTAGATGACAACGTAATGCGTCGGCTTCACCGTGCCCTGCAGACCAGCGTGCGCTTGCAGATAGAAATCGTAATCAAATCTGCCCGGAAGGTATGAGAAGAATGGAATAATGCGCTGGAAGAAAGAGGGAGAGACTCACACTCCAGTAATCCCCTTGTCAACCACCGTCCCAGGTTTCGTGTTGCCGTTCTTGTCTGCATTCGCACCACCTGTAGGGTAGAACCTAAGAGTCGTTGAGCAAAGAGTCAACAACGACCATAGTGCAACCTACCTAGAATGATGGCGCTTCCCGCATATAATGACAGATACAAGCGGTTTGTAAGCCTTCCCATCCTTGGTATTCAGTCTCTTCGCAGCCTCCTTGATCTGTACGACCTCCTCCCGAATGACGATATCATATTGGCCCTAGAACGGAAAGGTCAGCAAGATCGTCGCAACGAATTCCTGTCATCGGTCACCTCAGAGACACCATCCCGGAACACGAGAATCCTCTCCGGCAACGCCTTGTTCTTCTTCTTGTACACCAACAGACGCTCATGCATCATATGCTGTAGCTCCTCGACGACCTAAATGGCACCATGAGCACTCGCAGGGGAATCAACAGAAAAAAGACAGACCTCTTTGGAGTGCTTATTAGTATCAGGCCTCTGGATCCTCATGCTCGCTGGGAACTGGACGAAATCATCATCCACGCTCGCCACGATCGCCGCGATCGATGGAGTGCCAAATCTCGTCTCCGGAGCAGGGTGGGTAACATCGATCCCCACCATCATCGTCTTCTTCTTGCGCAACCACCTCATGGCTTGATCATCCAGCTGAACATGTCCTGTCAGTCGGTACGTAGCATCCAAAGTAGGAAATCCATACCTTGTGGTTGATCCCCCCAAGCTTCGTATTCACCTTCAAGGCGATATTCGAGAGATATTGATCCTGTTTTTTTTTTCTCATCGCTTTGTCGAGCTGCATCGTAATCGTCTGCAACCCTAGCTCACAGTCTCCGATTCGCTAAGCTCATCCATCAGCTACACCATTTTCGAAACACACAAACGAGGTTCACCTTGACACCAGGATAAATGAAATTGTCCCTATACATCAACAACACCAACACAAAACTCGGCCTGGGACCCGTTTGCATCGCATGCCGCAAACACGACCTGATGAGATTCAATGAGTTCACCCTCCCTGGATCCTCACGCACAGGAGCCAATGGCGGCAATTCCCTCAACAATCGTAGCATTCCCGCCGGTCCATTCATCCCAGCCGACTGCAGCTTCTTCGAGAACGCCATGATCAACGGCTTGATGTCCTGCGGAGAAGGATATTTATCATGCATCCGTTCTCGTATTGGGAGGACCCAGAATCCATTGACGGTCGCACCGCGGTGGAACGTGGTGTCAAGGATGTTCCATGAACCATTGGTCACCCTCGGACTTCCCTGGCGGTACGACAATGTCGGAGGGGGAAGCTCGCGGCCAGGGATGACGGCCATTTCCTGGTCGATGGAGAGGCCAAACATGTTGACGGGCGGCTGAGGAGGTGAGAGGGATAACTTTTTGAACCCCTCGTCGACGATAAACTCTGCATTAACGCGCGGGGGGTTACACGCGTATCGAATCATCTGGGCCACTTCTTGATCGCCTAGCCGTCCTCGATACGGATTCCCGGCTTCGATCCTGCATATTTCGGCGGGTAGCCATATTGGTCTCTTGACACTCCCGACATTGACCACTGGGAGGTCAGTTGCATGATGCAGAGAAATGTCATACTCTGTACATAGGTATAAGAGTTTCATCCATGGAGTCTAACGACGGTTATACGCACTTTTCTTGAAGAAATCCTTGACCGACATATCCTTCTTTCCAAATTCTTCGCAGGGAAAAGTGGTGTCCCGGGCAGATTTGAGGCCAATCTCCCAGAGCTTGTAGTGACGTTTATATCCAAGATGGGTAGTAACGACCTTGATGCTTCTGGCAAGCGCCTTGGGAAGCGTTGGCATTCCCCCCGAAGAATTCCGATTGAACGACTCAAGAACATCCGCGAGATTACCCGGCTCGACGAACGGCGCCATACAGACATTTCTGGTGGCGAGTTAACACGCGATCGTATATTTAGTTCGAACTCACATGTTGACCATCAGCTGCTGATAAGCCGGCCGAACAGAGAGAAAATACCCTCTCCATGCCTCGATGCCTGGTCCGAGAACCTTGCGTTGACCAGGAGGAGGCTGAAAGTAATACTTGTTCTGCCCGATACGCACGCCCGTGTGCAGAGCGTTCTGCTGCATTACTAAATTGAGAGCAGAGATGATGGGTAATGGATCGTAATCCCTGTGTTCCTTGTCAGCGTTGAGGTACCTAAATAAAGATATGAAAAGACAATAATGATAAGAATACCAAAACACGCACTTGGAGAGTTCACTGAAGTTCAGGTCGCCCTTGAAGACGACGGAAACGGTATATGTGATGGTGTTAGGTGGAGGTCCATTCTGGCCCTCTTCGTAGAACGGTATTTCCACGCGCAAATTGGGCAATTTATTGGCCGACACAAGGCGCGTACCTCTATCGTGAGCAATAGAGCCCAGCTGAGGCCGTACCTCAGGGCGGCGCTCAAGCAGCCAGAAAATACGGTCCTTGCGCTCCTTCAAACGAGTAGCTGGCTCTATTTTGATTTCGTACTCAAAGAGAGGGCCCTCAGGAAGCTTCACTACAAAAAAATTAGCACGCAAAACGACGGGCTTCCCCAAGGTACCAAAGCCAGGCCGTGTTGGACGTTCTGGCTTGGGTGGTACCTTTCGAAGGGCACCGATAAGCTTATCCTGGTTCTCTGGTGTCAGGCAGTCGGGTATCTGTGCTGGAACATTTTCCTTGTAGATGTTGGGGCCACTGAATCCACCTCGAGCGAGTCCTCTGTTGAAACCTGGAGCACCTCTGCCGCCTCGCCCTCCAAAGTTGTCGCCACGGCCTCTGTCATAGCCACCACGACGTCTATCTGGACCACCTCTGAGACTCATGATGTGGACTGAGAGAGCGATAGAAAATACGATTAAGCAGCGATGAAAAGATGGAACTGATGCCGGCGGAGACGTCGACGTCGTCAGTACTGTCTACGCCGTCGTCGTCGTCGTCGTCGTCGTCGATGAGTCAAAAACATGCCAGGCACCTGCCTATTTAAGTATGCAAATTGAAACTCCGCTGCCAGCTCAATACTTATGTGTCAGTACAATAGCACAATATTGAATCATGTGTAATCTGGACCGGCTTCCGCAAGACATTCGTACTGATCATAAAATGCCTACTATTGATTCTACCATCATAACATGTGTGACATTCCAAATCCTTTGTGAAGATTAAGGTAGAGCTAAAAATGGATATAATTAACATCAGTTTATTAGCATTGTTTTTTTTTTTTGTTTCATAGAGCATTGTATCAAATACTTGGTACCCACTTGGATAGGGGGGCATGCCCCAAAATAAGAAGCAGTAGTGACTAAAATGAGAAATCAAACCAGGAGATCTACATGGAGAAATGCTGTTATACACTATTCAGAATCATGTGGAACTCTGTGCCAGACTCTTGGCCTTTTCTGACAGGGCACCATACCCACTAAAACCCTGTTCTGGTATGTCCCATCCTCTAGGAGGTAATCCTCATTCAGTGCTGTCACCTTCTGAAGGGCCCTGGCTGGGTCTATACCTGGCCTTGTCCACTATTGCCCAGTCAGTCATCAGCTACTTATCTATTGCATCAATCCACAGATTCTGTATCTCATCCTTAGTGTGCTAGCTTGTCTCATCATTGTCATCTTGTTAGATTCATCTCTAGCAACATATTTTTCAGATCATATGCACTATCTCCATCATCAGTATTCAATAGAGGTATGTAGTATGTTTATCAATTTCACCTTTAGAGTTTCTAATCTATATCAGTGTGGCACCAAGTGCAAGACCATAGGTTGGTTGCTTCCATTTCAGTCTCTTCTTCTCTCATAGCTCTTGAGCAAGTCTCCACAGTATGGCTTGCCCATTAATATTGCAGTCAATAAGGATATGTTCCACTGACTCTGTGACTTTGTAGTGAGGATATTCTCTTTGCATTGCATATTGTGGATCTAAGTGCTCTCAGAAACTACCTATTTTGAATGCATTTTGCAGGGCTTTCTATGGAAAGTCTTGTGCTGACTATGATACATCTTGTGATAAATTGACTTTTAAATCCTTGTGAGTATTGGCTCCACCCCATTTATCTCTTTTACTGCTACTGCAACTCTCTGTTAGGGCCAAGTGACATATGTCTGATATCATGTGGTAAATAGATGCTATATTGCATTTGTACAATCACACCTAAGTCTAAATATGTGATGTATGTGGATGTTATATCTCAAGATCTATGCAAGTAGACTTGAGTAAGTGGGTATGATAAAGGATAGTTCAAGACTAGAAATATATAGCACTGTCTATGCTACTTATATACTCCTAGATCAGTCACTAAATATACTACTACTAATTGTAAGTGTCTGTACTATAGTACTCACTGTTCTGGTGAGTCAATGTTATCTATAAAAGATCTGTTGTGCTATTGTTGGAGCATCACTATGAGTCAAGAGACAATGGCTGATTGTGCTGACCAAGACTGTCCCATAGCCCTAAGCACTGGTATAAGCATCTTGACTAAGCATAGATAGGGGTTAATACTGTGAAAGTGAGAATAAAAGTGGAAAAATCATAACATTACCTCCTCCTTAAGACTATCATCTTGATAGCTTAATTTAGAGATAGTTCATAATCATGTATAGCATCATCCACATTCATATGTTGTTCATTTACCCATTGATTCAATTCAGAGCTATATCCCTTCCAGCTGATAAGGTAGTCAATGATTATTTTCATGCCTCTGCCATGCATCTTTATGCATTGAGTCTTGTGGTTTAATATCTGATCAACTTCATAATATTCTTCTTCATCAATCAGGTCAGAAGATGGCAGTGGTGGTCATTCTTGATTGAGAAAGGCAGAGATGATAAATGAAGTTAAAAGAGTCTCATTGAATGTGTTATGAATTTTCCAGTGTGATGGGAATCAAAGTTTGTATGCAGATAGGCTGACTTTGGCAGTGATTGCAAAGAGTCTCATATGCTTGTCATTGAGTTTTCATTTTAAGCATGGAAGATGGAGATTTGTGGTGTCCAGCCAGACTTTATTGTTGACTTTATATAAATGTGCTGGCTGTCAGTGTTTGTCATACTGGGATTTTATAGTGTCAGTGGCCTTCTAGAGGACAGTTTCTGTTTCAAAATGGATTTTTGCCATGTCAGCAGTGAAGTCTGTTGAAGCAGGAGTAGTAGTGTGAAGCCAGGAGGTTTTTACTATGTTTGGATGCTGGCTGTGATTCATGAAGAAAGGAGTTTTACCAGTTGCTGAATGGATGTGATTGTCATGTTGGAATGCTGCAAGTGCAAGCCATTCAGTCCAGTCATCTTGCTGGTAGTTAATAAACATTTGGAGGTACTTTTTGATTTCTTAGTTGACACATTTGGTTTGGCCATTGGTCTGTAGGTGATAGGCAGTGAATGCATTGCTGTGGATATTAAATAGGCAGTATAGGTTGTCTATGAACTTTGAGACAAATTGTGATCCATGATCTGAAATGATGACTTGTGGTATGCCATATTTGGCATAGACCTCATCATAGAGTATTTTTGCCCATCTCTCTGAGGATAGTTCTGTCAAGCATGTGATCAGAATGATCATCTTAGAGAACTGATTGATGATTACAATGATTGTATCATAGCTATTATAATCTGAGAGTCCTATAACTATATTGACCAAGATATGGATCCATGATTGTGTCAGTACCTCATTCAGATGCAATGATGCTGCATGGGCCCAGATTGAGGATTTGGCTCTTTGACATGTCTCACATCCCTTGATATACCCCTCAATATCCTTTGCCATCTTTGGCCACCAGTACTCTCTTAATATCAACTCCTTAGTCTTAGTGATCTCCAGATATCCAGCTGTTGCATGGTCATAGCTCATCACTATGATCTCTTCTCACAGTGATTGATTCTAAGAGATATAGAGTTGTCTATCATAGAAGAGGAGGTCATGATTCTGGGAGATGCTATGCTTGTGGTTTAAGGATGTTGCAATTCCTTGGTCCCATAAATTAGATTGTCATATGGCACTGCAGATTTTGTTGTGTATCTCCTTCTCTATCAGTATCACCATTGCACAGAAGTGCTCTGGTTTGAGTAAGACTATCCCTTCATTATTTTCTCTCCCCCTCCAGCTGAGTAGGTCAGCCTTCTTGTTTGCCATTCTAACCTTGTGATGAAGTGTGTATTGATATTTGGATAGCTCTATCACCCATCAGGCTTGTTGGTGGTTGAGTTTCTGAGAAAGTCAAAAATACCAGAGGTTTTAGTCATCTATCCATACTTCAAAGGTTTGGGTGGCTTCAATCAGATAGTGTTGCCATTCAGCAAGTGCTATCATAATAGCCAATAGCTTCTTGTCATAGATCTCATAGTTTCATTCAGTAATGGTTAATGCTTTTGACAGGAATGCCACTGGTCTCCACCTTCCTTTTTGTTCCTGTGATAGGACTGCTCTGACAGTCTCTTCACTTGCATCCACTTCTACTCTGAATTTTCCCTTCTGTGTGGATATTATCAGGACCGCATTCTTAGCTAGTCACCATTTGAGATTCTCAAATGCCATTTGCTATGACAACCTCCAGTTCTAAGGGGTGTTGCCAGTGAGCTGCATCATCAGTTGGATGATCCTGCTGTAGTCTCAGATGAATCAGCAGTAGAAGTTTATAAAGCTAAAGAAGAACTGTGGTTCCTTCTTTTTAGCCAGCTCAGGCCATTTGGTTACTCTAGCTACCTTGATTGTATCCATCTGAATGCTTCCTTCACTGATGATGACCTCTAAGTACTCTATCTCTAATATCTTGAATTTGCACTTCTTGGCTTTGAGAAACAATTTGTGTTTTCTCATCAGTTCAAGTACCTGTCATATGAGCCATCAGTGTTCCTCTCTATCCTTGACATAATGAGTATGTCATCCAGGTAGATCATCATCTTCTCAGTAGCAATGAGATTCTTGAAGATATCATTCATTATTCACTGAAAGGTCACTAGGAAATTAGTCAGTCCAAAGAATATAACTGTGAGTTTGAACAATCTCTGGTTAGTCTGAAATGCAGCCTTCCACTCATTCCCCTCCTTGATTCTTATATTGCTATATTCCCATTGGATGTCCAACTTAGTGTAGAATTGGGCTTCATGGAGTTTATCCATTAATTCTGAGATAAGAGAAAGTGGATATTAGTTCTTGATCATTATTTCATTAAGTCGCTGGTAATCTTGAGCTGGTTGGAGCTTATCATCCTTCTTTTTGATGAAGAAGAATGGTGAAGCCATCAGAGACTTTGATGATCAGATTTGCCCACTAGAAAGGTTCTCTTCTAGGAACTTATTGAGTTTCTGCTGCTTATGATGTCTTAAAGAGTATATCTTACAGTCCAAGTTAGCATTGGTGTTTGATACCAACTTGATAGCATCATTTCAGAGTTTGGATGCAGGCAGTTCATCAAAGCTTTCCTTCACAAAGAGATTGTGATAGTCTTTGGCTCATTTAGAAACCATTTCCTCAAATGTTCTCTCCCCTTTCCTCTTATTTACTCTAGTGGCTAAGTCATTGGCATGATGAGTCACCTGTATTCACAGAGCTTCTTCAAAGTCCATAGTAAGGATAGTCTCCTCATCCTCCATTTCTTCATCTCATCAGTCTTCAGAATCTATATTGGAGAGTGTGAATAGTACTTTTCAGCAGTGATATCAGGTGAAGATAATTCATTTGATCTTCTAATTGATAAGCAGATTGTGTTGGATTAGCCAGTCATGTTCAAGGAATAGCTCCTTGATACCTAGTTCTGTGATGGTGAAGTTGATTCATTCTGAATGATCTCCAATAGTCAGATGAAGTTCTATGAACTCTGTAATTGATCCAGCCTGATTCTTAGTGCTGTCAGCATTATAGACAGAGATAGAGGCTTTAGAGGCTTTAGTTGGGAGATAGTGCCTGTTAATGAAGGCTCAGTTAATAGAGCTTCCTGTATAGCCACTATCA